TGGCTACAGGGAAGCAATTATTTTAAGCAGAGTTAATGAGAATTGGGGGAAAACCTGCTCTCACTGTTCTGTTCTCTACCAATACTGTCATTTATTTCCCATCATAATAGTTCATTTTTCTTAGTATCTATGTGACTAAGGGAAATCAAATAGTATAAGTCATCATGTTGGAGGAGTTTTCTTTTTCTCTATAATAGATTTTCCTAATAACTCCTAAATTCCTGGAGGGAATCACAGGGGCTACAGCTCCTGCAAGAGAAACTCGCCCATTCATAGAGATTGCATGCTTCAGAAAATAATGCAGATTCTGTTTCTATGCTGTTGGTTGTAGTTTATTGTTGCAAATGTGAACTATTCCATTCATTTGAGTACTGAATATATTGAAATTGGCAATTCAGTAATAAATTAACTTTAGTACTGAAATATAATAGATAAACAGGAAAAAGAAGACTGAAATGTAACAAATTAAAAAGAAAGTCTAAATAGCAGTGGATTTTATTAAAGATTGTTATATTTTCATATTTTCAAGATAAGAAATGAGTTTCACCCACATAAGGGATACCAGTCTTCCCCCTGAAATTAGTGGACTTAGAAATACTTACTTTGACTGGGCTGGACTTTAAATTTTAAAATAATAGGCTTGCCTACCATAGCAAATGCAGCAACTGAAACATAACATAAAAGTATGGAAATGGAATGCTCACAGATTCAGGATTGAATTGTTTCATTCTTCTCCAAGATCATACTGTTCTAGGGATGGTTTGGCAGTTTCTAGAAATAAATGCTCTCAGTTAGAGTAACCATCCCAGAAATTACCTATTTCTGTCATTTGGAATGCCATCTTGAACTTTTTTCTATTTCAGAGGAAAGTAACATACAAGATTTGGTATGATCTAGAGGAGAATGGATAATACTCTTGAGTTATTTGAAACTTTATCTTCCCCAGCCCAAGAAATTTGCATAATCTTACATAAGAACTTTCTATTACATATGAACTCAATTTATTTCATTATTTTTAAAGGTTTGTTGTTTAAAACTAGAGAAAGGCAGATGCTTTGTAATGGAAAAGTGCACTCTAGTCTGCAGGGGAAAGTCATTCAAGTGGACTCTTGAATGATTCCTACTTCACTTGAAAATATTCTGCATATAAACACATGCACACACTCTCGCTTCTGCTCACATTCAGACACTCTTAGATGTTTGCATAAGATTCAACATTTACAAAATATAGAGTATTGGAAAACTTGGAGAAAACATACTATTCTGGAAATAAGGAGCTACAAAAAAGAAAAAAATTATTTAGAAAAATAAAAATGTACTATCCTGTATTTTGTACATTTCTAAAATAAAAGAATTCACTTCACTAAATTGCTATGATCATATAAACCGGTAGGCCTTCACTAAACTTTATAGGTCATTCAGGTTCTTATTGGATCATTTTCTTCCCATATAAATTACTACTGATCTTGATAGCTGAACTATCAGTGTCAGGGATAATAACCTTAACAAAGAAATTGCAACTTTTTGAAAATTCAAGATTTGACTTTGCATTAAGATTTTTACTTTTGTGTTATTACTTTTGAATTCATGATTAGAATATTATGAATGTTTAGGGTGGAAATATTAATAAATTAACAATTTAGCAGTATATAAATTAATCTCATTTATTACTACCTTATTTGAATAAAATCCATGTGCAAGCCATAAAATACTAGGAAGGCAAGCTTTCCTTCATACTTTGAATTACCTGTCCTGATAGATTACTTGATCTCAAAATCTGTCATTTCTGTTAGATTAAACTAATTGAAATGTGTGATGATTTTTTAGCCCTGCATATATCTGTACAAGTACAATATTCTATCAAATATCCTTTGAATTTTCAAAAATTGCATATATCATCGGACCAGTAATAATATCCAAAATCTTACACTGAGAAATCTATTACTTATAGTCAAATGTAGATATTTATGAACACAGAGGCACAAATGTAATAATATCATATAATAATTATAATTAATTAATTATAATATTATTATTCATTATACAAATATATTATATACAAATGTAATAAATATTTACAGTATCTTTCCCAAACGTAAAAGAAAGGGCAAATGCACAGGCTTAGATTATAGTACAATTATTATATTTAAGGCAGTGATTGGTCCATGTCCAATACTTCTAAAACCAGGTTTAAAAATGAAATCTTATGTGTGCCATATTTTTATCTGAATGTACACAAAATAGGTACATTTATAAAAAAAAAATAAAGTATATTTTCAGCTAAGAAGGCAAATATGTTTATGTTCTATCAGTTCAGCCTTTTAAATAACATATTTCTCTCACACATATATCCTCTAAATGTGTTTTAAATATATGTCTTACTTTATTCTTTAGTATCAAAGTGTTCAGTAATTCTGGTAGTGGGACATAGAACTGTTCATTTATATATAGTTAAATTTCAAATGTCTAAAAAAATATATAATTAAATCATAATACCTGAACAGAATCAAAACTACTCACCAACATCCTGCTATAGAATTAAGACTGCAAAGTGTATCTTGAGAATAGTGGTGGCATGTATTTGAAATATTCATTACAAGAGACATGCAATTCAAATGAACATAATGTGCATATTTGAATAGCACTTTCATTACGAACTAAGAACAGCACTGCACTCTGTTGGATGTCCCGATATTGTTTTACTTTAATGTTGTCTCATACCCATAGCAAATTGACATATATTGATGTTATCATTCTGATCCTTGCAATATTGCATTTGATAGCAGTTTCAGTGTTTTTTAATTCATGTTGCACATGAATTAAGAAGAAGAAAAAGATCAGTAAGTAATTATTAACAAAATGAAGGAGGGCAACCGCAGCTGAATATTTTGAAAAGAGACATTTGGACAAAATTAGCCCCAGATAGCAGGTTTAGAGCATTTATCTATGTTCTACATTGTTATAAAGCAACAACAATTTTCCAATTTCCAGAAAAATTGTAATCACAGAATGAAAAGAAGCAACAAATACTTTATAGTTAATTAGAAAGACACCCCCCCAACCAGCTGCATGAATGTACATAATATCAACTTGTGACCCAATTTATTCCTGTCACAGTGAAATGGGGAAGGCTACATGCAAAAGTAAATGCATACACAATTTGACAGGGCAAAAGCTAAGCAATGTAACACATGTATCTCTTGAGATACATCTTTAGGATTTCCTAATCAATTTAGGTTGTTTTTTCATGAGACAGGTGTTCATACAAAGCTGATGTTTCATAAAAGGAGGGTGATGAGAAGAGAGATTTAGCAAACAGACACTATCAAAACTTAATGAAGAATATTGTGAAAGGAAGAAATTATTATTTTAACTCAGTTTTCAATTAATCAAAAATTAGATATTCCTTTTGTCCTTTTAAATAAAATGAGATTTATGTAGAGCTTTGGGTTCTATTTCTATGAAATTTCGTTAATTTTTTTTTATATTCTCATCATAGGAATACTTCTACCAAAATTTAGGAAAGGAGTCCTAAAATATAAATTAAACCTGTTAATAGTAAGTGTGTTTCATTCAGTTTAAGAATATTAACACAAGCATTACCACATTTCTGCCCTTTGGGTTAAAAGTGTTAGCAGTCCTCATTCCAATCCGTTAACTTATATTTTCTGCAAATACTGTATATGGAAGATTATTCTCAGCCAGAAATACAGACATGTTACCAGCAAGTTACTCAGCATGACTGCTGAGTCAGATTAATCTTCCCTTCTGCTTCTTAAATTAGTGAGATGACATCTAATCAGGCTTGATTCCTTGTGACTTCATAACAAATGTTCACCATCTCAACCTCAACCTCATCTGTATTCTTCCAAGGATTTTCCCATGTGATAACATCCACATACATCAGATAATGTATTAAGGGGAATAGAAGTCTTCCATTTCTATTTCCCTCAACTGTGTGAAGCATTGTCGTTTTTCTATACTCATACCAAATGTCCACATACATGCTTTTTTAATTTCTAATTGTCAGCCTAAGGGAGTTTTTATTTGTTCTTCTTGTATCCTGTGATATTCTTAGCAACCATATTTGTGGTTATCTTATTTCACGCTCTCTTTTTCAAGGCTTATACTTCATAGCTAATTACTCTTGAAAAGATGATTGCTTAAACTATTCAGATCTTTGTGGTCAAAGAAATATCCTTATCCTTTACGATCTTATGTTACTTTGTCTTCCTGCCTCAGATTACTTTTCTCTTTATTTCTCCAGCACATTGTTAATCTTTATAATTTAGCTAAAGAAAATGAAATCAGCTACCATTCGCACTTCCCTATCAACTGTAAATTCACTAGGTATGTTGGTCAACATTAACTTTATCTTCTTAATATTTAATATTAACCCAGATTTTTCACTTTTTATTTTTACTCTCATAAAGAGCTCTTCTATTAAGGCTAATAGGTATGGCAGAACACCTGAATTTTCTCCTGGAAAAATAGTGAACAATAAATGAATCTGGAGAAACAGATTAATTCAGAATAAGATAGAAACAAGGATAAATATTGTTGGTATATCTGTTTATCTTACATAGCAAATACACTGTCTGAATGGCAGTATTAGAAAAAATGATAACTAGAAAAAAATGAAGCTGAAACATTTATAAAGTGTATATATATAGGAGGCTATCGAAATTGAAAAGAGGCCACACAATATGAATAGACGAGATGACGCCTCTAGGTTATCAAGTATTTGGAAACCTGCACTGAGGGAAACTCGAATTTTAACATCAGAGGATAGGCAGAGTTCCCAACAGGCAACCAGTGGTGTTGTAATGCATACAAGAACCCTTTCCTCTTTGCAGTTGATAGCTAGCAATAGGGAGAGAGAGAGAGAACCAACCAGAAGATATGCTAAGATCTCAACAGGCAACCAGTGGTGCTGTGATGCCTACTAGAATTCTTACCTCTTTGCAGTTGACAGTTGGTAATAGGGAGCCAGAGAAAACTGGACCGTTAAATCACATTCAGGCTGCAGCTAGTATAATGAAGCATGAACCACAGCTTCTAAACTGATAATAAAGGCCCGAAAATGACAAGGTAGAGAGCTTGTCGAAATGTTGCCTAACCTTAAAGTGTTGGTTAGGATTTCAGCCAGAGTTTTTGAAAGATCTTAAAAAGGTTTTTGTTTGGGAATTTAGAGCATTCTAAGCTGTGATCTTAGCCAGGATTTTAAATATTTTAACTAACAAACTTATAATGACGCGGGAAAACACCTGAGATTTTAACTTTTTACATATATATATATATATATACTTTATAAATTATATAATATATTTTATGTATATATTGAAAATAAAGACTTAGAAAAGTTTCACTAGAAGAAAGACTTACTTTTGTTCCTTGCTTGGTCTCTCAAGTTAGCCAATTACCTAAGACCAAGTTAGGAAAGAAAATGTGTTGTGTATATTGCTCCTAAATTTCCCCTCCAAACTTTAATTAATCCAACTTTAATTTATCCTCTGCATTCACTTCTTCACTGAGCTTGATCCCTAGACAATGGCAGTCTTATTTTCCTCCAGATTCTGCAACAAACTCTGCCTGTTCAGCAGGAAGCAGTCACTTCTTGCAAAGAGCAACGATATCTTTCATCCAAGTTCTAATCAGGTTTTATGCTGTTTAGCTTTAGAGATCAGTCTAGGTCAGGGCTGTCAAACTCCTGGCCCATGGGCCAGATCCGTCATGTGCTGACCACGTTTAGTGAAGGGGAAAAAAGTCCCGATATGTCATGTGACGCTGCCGTTACGACCTGAATTTGACATCCTTGGCCCAGGTGATAGGCATTCCTTTGCCAGCTGCCATCCCAATCTCCTTCAATCTATTTCCATCAAATTTGCCAAGGTGATCTTCTTTCTTATTGCCAAGTTCAACATGTGGTATCGCAAAAGAATCTGGCACTTATAAAAAAATAAAACCTAGCATCAAATCAGGCCTGTGCCATTCTTGTTATATTGGTCTAACTTTTCTATAAATATTATCTTCTCTGTGAAAAGGAGGACATTTTAAATAAATAGATTTTAAAGGAATATAGCTTGAAAAATTTCCAATTTCTACGACTCTGGGTCTCTCTAGTCCCAGATCAAGACCTTAATTACTACATTACATTGGAACTCCCTTGAGTGGGAGTGAAAAATAATTCCCTCTGGGATCCTCTACATGGTCCAGTTTACTTTAAATGACATTATCATTACATCAAAGAAGACTGGTGACAAATTGAGAACATGATAAATGTGTGGTAGTGGCAAACATTTCCAGTCCTTTGGCATGACCCAGCATATGGACTAGCTTAAACTTTTCCAAACACATTTTGGTTGCCTGAAGAAATATCCTCAAGGAGATATCACTCTTTTTCTTGGTGAAGCTCTATTCAATAAACTTTCTTCCTAGTTTCTACCTGGCATTTAAGGAATATGGAGCTCAATGCACAATAAGATTTGGAGGTCTTCCTTCTTCACACAGCCCTAAATTAACACTGTAGTTGGATTCCTGCAACCTGAGATGAAGAAGGATAGTGGAACACTGTACTTTTGAAGAAATAGTAATCTGCACTGACATAATGATCTGGAAAAAAACCCAGCATTACTCATCATGCAATAAAATTCTGCTTAAGCAGTGGTGGGTTCCTCCCAGTTCAGCCCGGTTCCGCTGAGCCAGTAGCAGTGACGATATGATGTCACCGAACCGGTTCTGCCCCCCCCAACCCCCCCACTCTCTGCGTTATTCTTACCTTTTATTTGGCCCCACCCCCAATCTATTGCTGCCTATTGAGTCCCAGCTGATGGCTAGAGGGAAAAAAACTGTTTAGAATTTTAGACCCACCCCTGTGCTTAAGAAAATGATTCTACCAGCCCCAGTTATACCTATTGGCTAACACAGAACTGCCTTAACTTGCAGGTGGGTATCCCCATTCCAAATCATCTTGGTGAAGTGAACACAAGACCTTCTTTGGAGATGAAGCAGTTTGCTTTCAAATCCTCTTGTTACCCACAGTTCACTTGTAACTACTTCCTGATGTGCAATCAAGCCACATAGCCTGGCACCTCCTTAAACTGGCTAAATTGTCTGTTCTGCGGTTTTTCTCTCCTAATCTACTTTATCCCACCTGTTGTTATTTTGTAATGTTAGTAGTAGGTATAGATGACTTGAATCTTATTATTATTTGTTTAGGCATAAAACATCTGTTACAGAATAATTATCAGAACATGATAAAATTCTATATTAGAGATATTTGGAAAAATGTAGCTTTTTAAAAATATAGAAATATTAAAAGAAAAATCTTAAAACTGGAAGGACCATTTTAAATGACCAAAAGTTGGACATTATGATGCTGTCTCACTTTGCCACCAGATGCATCTTCATAATTTATAGTTTTGTCTGCTATAAAGGTTTAATTATGCACCATTCAATTAGATTCAAATGGACTCCCAAGAAGGGTATGTTACAAATTGCAATGTCCCCAAACACAATTTATCATTAAAACTTTGTGAAATTTAATCATTTCTAAGTGGCAAGACTGAGTAATAGCTTACTTAGGCTGCAATCCAATATTGAGTTTCCTAGGAATAAGATCCATTAAACTCCATGGAACCATTTCTAACCATGATAATGACAAAATATGTGTCATAAAGACAAGATGCAAAATTCGCCCTGTGCGGCACACAATTACAGGAGGTGGAGTTTGTATTGCAATGTCAGAATGCTCGTTTTGCCATACCCTCGTCCAAATGTGCCCTCCCATAAAAGCCTATATATGGGACTTGGTTTGAAAAGACTAGCATAGATTACCTTGCTATAAGTATTAGAATGATAATGAAAAAGAGAATCAATATCAGTCCGGCAAGTCTCAGTGAACTGAATTGATGATGGCAGTAATCCAAGATGTCTGAAAAGCAGCAGGTTAGATAGATAAAGTTAGATTAATCTTGGCATAAAAAACCCAGATATATATTCCATGTATGACAAAAATAGTTTATTAAAAATGTTATCTTGCCTAAAAATATGCCTCAGAATATACTGAAAGTATGTTCAAACCACATTCCCCACAGTTCAAAATGCCTATCAATCTTCACAGGATTTAATTTCTGTTTCTATGATCATCTCATTGTCATTCCTGTACTTGTTTCACTTTGTCTGAATGTTGCCCACTACTATAAACAATAAAGTAGGTTGTGATAAATGCAATGCAAACTATAATCACTACTTTTCATAAGTTGAAACTATTTGTTGAGGTAGTCTTACGCTGCATTTGATTTTCTGGTAGTCATCCAAGCATTGATTTCCATTTTGTTTGCAATCAGTAACCATTCCAAGGACTTGCCATTGAAAGTTTAAATTTGGTAAGATCTCTTGAAGGCCTCTAAAAGCCATACCTAAGGGTTTAAAGACTGCACATGGCCTTGGAACCTCACGATATACATCTCTTTTATAAAGGATCCCTGTAAAGATATCCCATTTGGAAGTGTAAAAAGTAAAGGTTCCCCTTGCACATATGTGCTAGTCGTCCCCGACTCTAGGGGATGGTGCTCACCTCCATTTCAAAGCCAAAGAGCCAGTGCTGTCTGAAGACTTCTCTATAATCATGTGGCCGGCATGACTAAATACCAAAGGCGCACAGAATACTGTTACGTTCCCACCAAAGGTCGTCCCTATTTTTCTACTTGCATTTTTTATGTGCTTTCAAACTGTTAGGTTGGCAGAAGCTGGGACAAATAATGGGAGCTCACCCCGTTATGGGGCACTAGGGACTGCCGACCTTTCGATTGACAAGCTCAGCATCTTAGCCACTGAGCCACTGCGTCCCTATTTGGAAGTGTAGTACAGTATTATTTGGGATACTTTGAAGTACCATTCATTTAATCAATAAGTAAATAAATAAATCAGAATAAAACTGGAAATGATCTTAGAGGTCTTCTAGTCCAACCCGCTGATCAAGCAGGAGACCCTACTTCAGACAAGTGACTGTCCAGTCTCTTTTTTAAAATCTCCAGTCATGAAGCACCCACAACTTCTGAAGGCAAATTGTTCTGCTGGTTAATTGTTCTCACTGTTAGGAAGTTTCTCCTTAATTCCAGGTTGCTTCTCTCCTTGATTACTTTCCATCCATTATTTCTTTTCTTGCCTTCTAATGCTTTGGAAAATAAGCTGACTCCCTCTTCTTTGTGCCAGCCCTTCAAATACTGGAATACTGCTATCATGTCACCCCAGTCTTTCTTTTCTCTAGACTAGCCATACTTAGTTCCTGCAACTGTTCTTCATATGTTTTCATCTCCAGGCCTTTAATCATCTTATTTGCTCTTCTCTGCACTTTTTTTTCAAAGTTTCAACATCTTTTTTGTAATGTGGTAACCAAAACTGGATGCAGTATTCCAGTTATGGTCTTACTAAGGTGGTAATAATACTTCATGTGATTTTGATTCTATGCCTCTGTTTATACAACCAAGGATTGTATTAGCTTTTTTGGCTGCTGCTGCATACTGCTGACTCATATATAAGTGATTGTCCACTAGCACTCCAAGGTCCTTCTCACAGTTACTGTTTTTGAGACAGGTTTTGCCTAATCTGTACTTGTCCCTTTGGTTTTTCATGCCTAAGAATGAAACCTTGCTTTTCTCCACGTTAAATTTCATTTTATTAGATAGGGCCTGTTGTTCAAGTCTGTCAAGATCTGTTTGGATCCTGAGCTTCTGGGGAATTAGCTATTCCTGCTAGCTTAGTGTCCTCTGCAAATTTGATGAGTTCCCCTTCTATTCCCTTATCTAAGTCATTTATGAAGATATTGAAGAGTACTGGACCTAAGACAGAATCTTGTGCTTACTTCCCTCCATGTAGATGTAGTAAAATTAAGGAGGACTCATTGAATATGGTTTGTCAGTCAGTTATAAATACATCTGGTGATGATGCTATCTATCCCACATTTTTCTAGCTTACCTAGAAGAAGGTTGTGGTCAGTGGTGGGATTCAGCCAGTTCGCACCACTTCGGGAGAACCGGTTGTTAACTTTCTGAGCAGTTTGATGAACAGGTTGTTGGAAGAAATTATTAGGGCAGAGAACCGGTTGTTAAATTATTTGAATTCCACCACTGGTTGTGGTCTATTTTGTTGAATGCCTTACTGAAATCTAAGTATACTATGTCCATAGCTTTTCGATGGCCTACTAATTATAGTCACTTTGTCAAAGAATGAAATAAGATTGTTTTTGCATGACCTGTTTTTAACAAACCTATGCTGGCTTCCAGTTATAGCAGAATTTAAACAGAGACCATTTAACTATATTTAATTATCTACAGTAATTGGGCATGTTATCAAATAGTTAGGTAACAAAGCCATAATTTTGGCTTATAAAAAAGCACCCTGGGCTATCTTTAAGATCTTTATTCTGAGCATTAAGGCTAGAAACCACCCACCTGTGATTTGTTTAAACTTACTGTACTGTCTGAAGTGAAGTACACTGCAGACAATAAATTAAATTGCAATTTCAGTTGGAAAAACAGACAATTTTTTTAAAACTTCAATTTTAAAAAAAAAACCTGAATATCACACAAGTGTACAACTAACCCAAATTGGCTGTTTTCTAACTTCATTTGAAAGTCTGTTGATTTGAACATAACTTTAAAAATAATTTTGGTTGCTCTCTTTAGTCTATGCTTCAGAGATTAAAATTCTCAGTAATTTACAAATATGACGCCCGCCAGTTCAGCTAAACAAATTTTCCTCATTATATGAAGTTGACTATTTAAGTTAACAAGTATGTTTACCATAATTGGAACAGAAAAGTACATAAAATTGATTTATTTACATCCTGTCTTTCTTCCAGGAGTTCTAAGGCAATATACATGCTGCTCAATTCTTCACTTTTTCACTTCACTTTTTCTCCATAATCCCCATGCGGAGATTATGGATGGAGAGGAACAAGCTCAGACTTAACCCCTCCAAGACCGAATGGCTGGGGTTTCCGGCGTCCCATCATAGTCAGTTGACTTCATCACTGATTATTGGGGGTGAGATCTTGACCCCTCAGAGAAGGCTCGCAACTTGGGCGTCCTCCTGGACTCGCAGCTGTCCTTAGAAGACCATCTGACGGCTGAGGTCAGGGGGGCTTTTTATCAGGTTCGCCTGATTTACCAGTTGCGTCCCTTTCTGGACTGGGACTCCTTACGCACAGTCACTCACGCCCTCGTCACTTCCCATCTGGACTATTGTAACACTTTCTACATGCGGCTCCCCTTGAAGTGCACCTGGAGGCTCCAACTGGTCCAGAATGCAGCTGCGTGGGTAATTAAGGGAACAATTCGACGCTCCCATGTAACACGGCTCCTGCACGAGCTGCACTGGCTCCTGATGGTCTTCCAGGCACGATTCAAGGTGCTGGTTGCCACCTTTAAAGCGCTCCATGGCATGGGACCTGGGTATCTACGAGACCGTCTTCTGCCACCGATACCCTCCCATCGACCGGTATGCTCCCACAGAGAAGGGCTCCTCTGGGTGCCGTCGGCTAGGCAATGTCGGCTGACAACCCCCAGGGGGAGAACATTCTCTGTGGGGGCCCCTACCCTCTGGAATGGCTGCCCCCGGAGATTCGTAGGATTCCTGACCTGCGTACCTTTCGTCGCGCCCTAAAAACATTATTATTCCAATAAGCAGGGCTGGCCTAAATAATAATAATAATTTACTATTTTAATGGGTTGTTTTATTAGAGTTTTCGGCCAATTTATTTAATTGTTTTAAATTGCTTTTAATTTTTATATTGTCATGGTTTTATTTCTGGCTGTACACCGCCCTGAGTCCTTCGGGAGAAGGGTGGTATAGAAATTTAATAAAATATTTTTAAAAATATAAATATAAAAAATATATGCGATAAGTAGGCCTGAGAGCGAAAGAAAGGCTTAAAGTCATCCGATGAGTTTCTGTGGCTAATGCTGTATTTGAATCAAGGTCTTCCTGCTCTAGTTCACCACATCAGCACCAGGTAACATTTATCCATTGAACCCTGCCAAGTCCTGTATTTGTGTAGTTTGGTAGCAGCAGGCTGGTTTTGTTTTTTTAAAAAATTCATGGTTAGCAATTGAATTGTATGCTTAAAATGTGTAATAAAAATATTTATATGAAAGAACTTAAGCTGATGACAAATTTTCATCCACATTGACATAGTCATGTTTTCAAAACAAAGCTTTTAAAAGACAAGCATCCATCTACAGTAGTTAAGACCCTTTAATTCAGCGGTCACCAACCAGTGATCCGTGGACCACTGGTGGTCCGTGAGAAAATTCTGGTGGTCTGCAGAAAAATTATTTGCATTTTTTATATTGCACTAAATCAGGGGTCCTCAAACTACAGCCCCTGGGCCAGATACCTGAAATGAATGTTTGTGTTGCTGTGGAGTGTCTCCCCCTTCAGGGTCATTTTGTGCAGGTCAGAGGGGGGCAGAAATTCTGACTTGGGGTCTGCTTCAGCCTCCTGGTGCAGGGCTTTGGGCAAAGGCTGGAGGGAAGCGCTGCTGGTGGCAAAGAGCAGGAGGGCCTTGTTCCAATGGGACTGCATCATGGCCTGGAACTGGCTGACCATCTCAGCCCACTGAGCCTCCAGGCACCGGTACCTGGCCTTGCACTCCCATAGGTCTTCCCTTTGTTTTGGAAAGCCTATGCTCCTAGTCCTCAGTGAGGTGCTTCTGCTGAGCCTCCTTCTTGGTCAGATCCAATTTGAACTGAGCTGTTTTGCCAACTTTTTCTCATGGTGGCTGCTTAGCTCCAATAACTGCTTCCTGTTGGTGCACTAAGGAGCCTGGGTGGGCAGGCGAGGAGGGGCTGGGAGGAGAGAGGCAAATAGAGACCGGCGAGGCACCGCTCAATGTGAGTGACATCGAGTTTACCATGCCCATCCAGTCACATGACCACCTAGCCACGCCCACCCAGCTGGTCATTAGGCAGATCATTAGTGGTCCGTGGGATTTAAAATTATGAATTTAGTGGTCCCTGAGGTCTGAAAGGTTGGGGACCCCTGCTTTAGTCCCTATTAATCATTATTCTCTGTATTATCTTCTGTAGCTAGATACAGCTAGTTCCAGGCTATGCTGATATGGAAGAAAAGATGTTGAGGATTCACTGGAAAAAAACCATAATCTATAAAGCCTGATACTTTAATTGTACAGGCTACCTAACTCATGGTAATGCTGGAGCATAACTTCATCTACCTATTTATTTCCATGTAAGAATGTCTGCATCTTCTTAGAATGTATAACAGTCAGTATGGCTTACAATAATTATGACTATGCAACACTTTTGAGACCACATATTTGTAGAACATGAAACAAGTTACATAAAATTTGTCCAAGGAAGACAGAAAAGTTACCAAAATCAGACAATTGCACAAATATTTTTATTCTATTAAATGACTTAATCAAACAAATGTGAAAGTACGATATTATATTTACTAAATGCACTTGCCATTATTTCAAATTACTATATATCTCAACATTTTTTTTTCATATTTTGGCATGTGAACTGAACATATACTTTTTCATCACCCTTAATATCTTGTTTCCCTTGTTTATCACTAGTCATTACTTTTTGTGAAAAGCTGTACAAATGTACGAAATGTGTATACAAATGCAATTGGTTATAGTAATATTTTCTTTTATTTCTTTTCCTAAACTAGTAATTTTAGCAGATGGGATCCTTTATTTTGAACATAATCATCTGAAATTCTGAAACAGAGAGAAAAGGAAGGAAGGAAGGAAGGAAGGAAGGAAGGAAGGAAGGAAGGAAGGAAGGAAGTTTCATGTATTTCTTAAAATTGCATTTGAAATAAAAAATGGTATTTGAAAAAAGAGGGAAGGGAAGAATTTGAAGTTTGAATTTTTGGTCTTTTTATAGAAGTGCTAACAATAATTTGCATCAGGGTTTTTCTTTTTCCTTCTATGTCATATAAAATGTGTTTTGGTATTTAATTTCAGTGAGACATTTAAATAAAAGCATGGTTCATTAACAGCCACTATCCAATATTCATTTATATTTTATATATCTCTTTCTGCAAGAAATCTGACAGATTGAAAAAGGCTATTTTATTTAAACTCATAAATAAATTGGTAAGTATACTTTAAAATATGTTTTATCTAAATGTTAAAAATCACAACACCTTAAAGGGTTGTGCTTGCTTCAACATGATTTAGATTTTACACAAGCACAGTAGCTCTGTACTACCTATTACAGCATATACTTCAGTCACACTAAAAACTTTGTTTTAATTTATTAAATCAGTAGCATCTTTTTTTCAGGCCACACAGAACCCTGAGAAAATTCTGTGCACCTTAATGAGAATTATTGTGCTCACACAAGGTTCAAACACTTCTTCCAAATGATTTTTGAAGCAGGACAACCTTAAAGGACAATCAGTAATTAAGCATAGGCATGTATATGCATACTAAATTGCAAACATGCAATTAATTTAAGAAACAGATTATCTATGCATATTGTCATATAAATGTTAGAATAATAAAAACATGAAGGAAACTTGTTTCTATGTGTTTTTTCCTTTATATCTTGTGGTGCTCTTCCATTTTGATAAATTTATATTAGACATAAATGTGTGCTCTATTTGGCAAAGCATTTCAAGTGCATGGTCAAAGGAAAGGGGATGAAAGGAGGAGAATAACCTCTGACCTGATAGTACCAAAAATACAAATAAAAAGAGACACTAAGATGGAAACAAAATAGTGTCATGGATTTACATATGGGGGTTTTGATGAAAACTAGGGCTGGGTTTTAAATCAAAACTCACCATCTCAAAACCACTCCTTTTCATCCGCCTGCAGGACTTGAGGTAAGTACGTATACGCTTTCTGGCACGCTCTTGATATTCAGGGAATTGTCGCCTGCATGAGTCAATGATAGCCTGGATCTTTTCTTTGGGCTGCTTAGAGATTGGGACCATTCGGTCCAAGTTTTCATCTACAAACAGCCTGACAAACATCTGTTGGTAAGAGGGAGACAGAGGAGAAGGATTTGGAGGGGTACTTGGTTTCTAGGCTTCCTGTCTCAGTTACAGATAGGAAGACTGCTTTTTTTTATTTAATTAAAAAAAAACCACAGTGAAGAGCTTTGTGATGGAAAGCCAGAAATGTTAAGCAACCAAGGATTTTATTTTAGGGCTGACAAAAGACAAGAAAAGATTAGATTATAGTGTATAGAAATCATGAGGAAAATAAAACATAGATTGTAAAAATAAGCACCATTTCATGTCTCTTATTAACAATGTGCTTTATTGCTTTATTGGTCTGTAGAACCCTTATCTCTTATTCTTCCTCTGTCGTGAACATTTTATGGTGTGTGTATTGTCATGCAAAATTATATAAAATTTGAAAAATAATAGAAAATAGCTGACCAGTGGAATCAACAATCTATAAGTTCCCTCTCCACTGCCTTCATTTGCTGGACAGACATACACACACATACATACACGTGCACAATACACAGCTGAAATTTCTCCTTTAGATGATGATTAAATAGCTAAATTATATGAACTTGGTATCTCTTTGAGAATCCTATCTAAGTACAATCCTATACATGTCTATTCAGAAGTAAGTTCCATTCAGTTCAGTGAGGCTTACTCCCAGGCAAGTGGGTATAGGATTGCAGCCTTTATGTATCGTCAGTAAAAAAGGGAGAAATTCCCTTGTATATATTTTTTTAAAAAATACACCTCTTTAATTCTCACATTAACCCATAAACATATGCCCCAAATCATAAATAAATAACTAAATAAAATTCCAAAGGACATAAGAAGAATCATATAACTTACATTAAAAGCTTTCAGGCGCTCGGCTTCAACCCCATCAGATTCATTCACTTTCTCAGTATCTTCGTGATCATCATGGTCATCATCATCTTCTTCTCCCCGGTTCAGGGAGAGGTCTTCAGCACCTCTGTCCATGTTTTCATTTTTGCCAGAATCATAGCTTGAATAACTATGGGCAGGTGACTAGAAGGAAAGAAATTTCATTTTAAGAAACTTGCTTGAGGAAAGCATCTGCCTTGCTTTAGAAGGGAAGGAGGAGAAAGTGGAATAAAATCATAGATATATTTTTCTTAATGCTGCAGAATCCAATCTGGGTTGATCATCAGGATCAGAGGTTAGTTTTCTGAGCTTTTGGACTCTCACTGGAGCCCATCCTCAGAGAACTTCTTTCTGCCAGAATGTGCATTATTTTTCTTAATCATCAATAAATACACACACAATTTAATATGCATACAACACACATTTATAAATGCATAAATTACTCATTGCATTAACTTTATAAGACCTGAACAAGCCAACTGACTTTACTGGACATAAAGCTAATTTGAAGGTGTAAGAATTAATGGAATGCTCTTGTTCTACCATTGAATCAAATCCAAACTGAGGCCAATTACTAACTACCTTTAATAATTGAGAAAGCTTCTATTCTTATAATAGATTTTTACTACTTATAACTAATCTTGCCTCAGAAATATGTACAAATAATATGTCTGTTCCGTGCACAACTTACACAGTTTATCTGTATTGCAGTTTAGATATAGACATTTAAGAATTGTACTGTATTATAAGAAGCAACTTTCCAGTTTCAGTTAGCTTTCCCTTTGTTTCCCCCTTTTTTTCCTATATAATATGAAAATTGTCTCTCTTATCCATAGAATTTCACTAGATTACCACAGAGCTGAGTGGTTGCCATATTACATTAAAAAATACATTCTTTTCTTAAGGAAATGGAGAGAAAGAAAATGGTTTGAAAAAATTCATGTACTCCTAAAGACAAAACAGTATTAAGGCTTAAAATACTCCTTTCACTTCTGCTTTGCTTGCATAAAACAAAACTATGGGAAGTTAAGGGGAAAAGAACATTGAATGTCTGAGAGTGATGGCATATTGCTAACAGCCTCCCACTTCCCCAGTTACAGCATCTTGGAAGATGATGAGATCATGGAGATAGGCAAAGGCATCCATAGTATATAATGCTTTGGTCAAAAGTAAAAAACAGCATTGTGCTAAAAGCTCAGCCTATTTTGTACTTGTATGTGATATCACAACTCACATAGAAAGGAATGGAACTTGCATCACAGCAGCATGATACTGCTTTACTCATTTGCCTCCACTTGGTCTCCCTGCAATAGACATGGCTGGGCCTAACTGACTGGGCCAGAAACTGCTCTCCAGTAGAGATCAAACATAAAAGATCATCAGAGCTTTAGGGGTGCAATGGAAGTGACCTAAATAAATTGTCCCTACAATTAAAAAAAAAAACAAGAAATAAAAATGCAGTACCCTTGAAAGGTCATGCCCGACCCAGAATGACTGGTTTGTCCTTGGTTTGTCCTGAGAAACTTTAGGATTATTTTTTTGGTTCTGTACTAGGGATTGATTTTGTAGATTTGGGATACGTTCGTATGTAGACAGTTCTATAGAAATGTTGGCAGTAGCTATCTTAAGAGAAGAAATAAAAAGAGCTGTGACTGCACTATAATTACTGGATCTTCACTACTTTCTCTATTAAAAGTTAGAGAGAAAACATACACATATCCCTGAAGATGTTCCACTTTCTTGCATAAACTAGTTCAGTTTAGCGGTGAAGATACTGGCCTAGGAACCAAGAGGTTGTGAGTTCATGCTTTAAGGCATGAAAGCCAGCTAGGTGATTGTACAGTATAAGGCAGGAAGGAACATCGAGGATATTAAAGACCTACCCAACTCTCTTCGAGAATTGGATCTAATGTTTTGGAAGTACTCCATCCCACAGCACTTTCATAGGAATTTGTCACTTTTGCAGTTTCGTTACTTGCAAAATCTGCAGGACCTCCTCCCCCTCACAAAATATTTGTTTCTTGTCCATTTATTTCTTTAGACAGACTTTTGGTTGCAATTGCATTATTATGGTTGGTCGCACAATAGCCAGATATTTAAACTGGATTTGGCATTTTTATTCACCTATTGTGTCCTTCCCAAGGGCCTGGATTGGCCAGATGTTGTCATTTGATGGTATTAAAAGGATTGCGGTAGGATGTAAGCTGTTCCAAGTAAAGCTGACTTTTGCAATTATCTGGTGGTGATTTTGTCAATGTCAATGGTGTTTAAGTGGTGCTGCAGTTTTTTTGGGGATTGCACCCAGGGCACCTATTTCAGTTGGTACTATCCTCGCTTTCTTTCGCCACAGTTGTTATCATTACTGTTACTAATAAGTTCATATTTTCTTTTATACTTGTTTATTATTAAAACCATCTTTCATACTGTTGGGTTTCAGAATAATGTACAATTTAAAATTTTAACACAATGGAACTATTAAATATCAATAATTAAATAATAAAGTTCTAGGAAAAGCCTCAAAACTAAAGTGGATTAAAACATCTGGAAATGTAAGTTGTGGAACTAAACTTTCTTATCCAGTGCTAGCTTCTGATAGCCAACTGTTTATGATGTTACTTTCCCCACATTCTTTTGTAACTATATTTATATTTTGGTCTGTGACCGCAAATAAAAGTTATTATTATTATCCAGTGCTTAAAAGATTGCATGATAGGGCCCTGACAACATACTATAATTGAGTTGTCAAAGCTAAAAAAAATTTTTTTGTATATTTACACATTTACTGTAATCTTTTCTACTAAGAATACTTACTAATTTCTCAAAGGAAAATCTTAAACTTATAGAACCAGTTCAGTCTACACTAACCTGGCATCTTTGACTATTCTGGTTTATAATTTCTATAATTGAAATTGCACCCTCTGAATCACAGGAACTAGAAACATCAACTCTACTATGTTTATACAAAAGGAATATGACACTGACTTTTAGATGACCCCAAATGGTAGAGTTAGCAGAATTATCAGCAGATAAAAATCCTGTGCAGTGCCCAATTTTATCACCATTCTGTATAGGGTTGCTGAAACCAACAATTGGACATTGTTATGTGCATGTGACTTGTATATATTCCCACCAGAATCCACACCCCAAAAAGCA